TAGAAGGGAATTAGTAGGGTAGGTTTCGGGTTGGGAGAGGTTCGGGCTTCAGGGCCAGGGTTTAAGGGTTTGGAGCGGGGGTTTAGGGTCGTGGGTGCCTCAAGATTGACCAGCCGCAGACCGGAGCAAACCCACCTACAAAACCCACCAGCCCCCAAAACAACGCACTAATTAGGTCACCCTTGTTTGGTACGGACCTGAATAAGGAGATAAGTGCATTCATCAGGTACGCGATATTAAAAGGGCCCCTACATTACTGGGCCATTATACTACCTACTCTTGGTGGTTTAGGTACTAGTGAAGCCCGAAGAAAGTTCTTCCCACAATATGATTGCAGAGTACGTACTCGATGTCATCGCAGCTTTGGCCGTGCTGCAAGGTCAACATCCGTGCTGTCTCAAGCTTCAATGAAGACCAGCTAAAGCCTAAACCCCTATGTGCAACTTCCACGCCCAAGTCTCCGCGAATGGTTTTGAATCCTAATGAATATGCACCAACCCATCAGTCCAAAGCAAGCCCTGCGACTAGCGCTTGCTTGATATGGCACTAGAGCTGGATGAAGGATGAGCGGACCAAGTACGTAAGTGGGTATTAGGCTCATGTTGTATAGTTGTACGTGGTCCCTCCAAGCCTAAACCCTGAGCCCTCAACCCTAGACCCTGCTTGGAGAGATGGGGGACTTAGTAGGTGGAAGTAGACTTATAAGTACCCTAATCGAGACCCTAAATAGGGGTTACGATACTTACTTACTAAGTCCCCCGACCCTCCAAGTGAACCCCATCCCAAAATACCAAGCCCTACGCCTCGACAGCTGACGCTGGACCTTCTCTGTCTTTTCAACATACTAGGATTTTGAACACCTCCGCTGCTTGAGCGGATCAGGCAAGGCAGCATCGTGCTATGCCTTGCCAGTGACCCGGACTTGCATCATTATCGTAGCAGTTTACTGCTTGATCCTATAGAATATTTAGATTCGGCAGTAGCTGCTGTTGCAATTGGACTACTTCTTGCTATTGTTCTTCTTGTTGCTGTTGGTGGCGGTGGTTGATTGGTTGGCGGTTCTTGTTGTTGTTGGTGGGTTGGTTGGTTGGTTGGTTGGTTGGTTGGTTGGCTGGTTGGTTGGTTTTGTTGGTTGGTTGGTTGGTTTGTTCGTTGCTTGGTTGTTGGTTGGCTGGTTGATTGGTTGGTTGGTTGGTTGGTTCGTTGGTTGGTTGGTTGGGTCGTTGGTTGGTTGGCGTGGTTGCTGCTTGGGATGCTGCGATTGCAACGTGAAGCACCGTCACTATGTCTGCTGACTTCATGTTTGAGATCACATCAGGGCGCCCAATCCTAAACGCTTTGGACCGTAAGCCCGAAAACCCTAGTCCCTAAAAATGGGCTTAAACCCAACGAGCTTACGAAACCCTATGCCGTAACCCCGGTAAACCTCACGCCCGAATTCCCCAGACCGTTGCGAGACCATGAAACCCACGGTACCTTGTCCCCCCGGGTCACACACTCCAGTGTCTGTGCCTTCCTTTGAAATGGCACGCCCCAAAGTGCCCTAAGTACCTATATAGTAAAATGTAGCGTGTCTGTCGTAGGAATGACTATGATGGTTTGGGTACCCGTATCCCCACACATATATATATATATATACATATATATATATGTGTGTATATATATATACAGATATATAGATGTATGTATGTATGTATACCTGTATTTCCATGTGTGTATATATATATATGTATACACATCCACCTATCTATATGTATATGTGTATATATATATATATATATATATATATTCTATGTGTATATATATATATATATATATATATATATATATATATATATATTTATGTATGTATGTATATTATATCCCCATACATGTATATATATATATATATGTATATATATATATATATACGTACATTCATTCATATATATATATATATGTATATATATATATATATATATATATACATACATACATACATACATACATACATATATATATATATATATACATATGTATGTATGAATACAAACCTATATTGTATGTATATTTTTCATACAAACAAGCAAACAAACAAACATACATACATACATACACATATCCCCATACATGTGTGTATGTATATATATTCATATATGTATATTTGTATATATGTATATATGTTTGTATGAATACATACCTATATTGTGTATATACATATATACATATCCCACATATATTTGTATATACATGCACATGTGCATATATGTGTATATACTTAGGACCCTTTGGGGCAGTTCGAATCATTGGAGTTCAGCTAAGCGAACTCTAAAGCTCGAAGATTTATGTCTTTTTCACGACTTTATGTATGGGACTCCTGGGGTGGTACCCTTAAAGATCGTAGTAGTGATCCGTTTTTCGAGAAGTGCTAAAAAAAAGAAGAGGGTACAACCTGTTGGGTCCGACGGTTTAACCAGTCGCCTGCTTGGCGCGCCTTAGTGAGCGGGGCGCCGGGCTGCAGCCCTCTGCCGTTCGTTTCTGAGCAAGGCTTTCTAGGATGCCCAGTAGTACCCTTATTCCTTTTTTGTAGTCCTAAGTTCCTTATAAAGTTACCCAATACCAAAAATAGAGGCCTTTTTATTCTTAGGTTACTGGGTATCCTAGCTTTCTGAGTGTTGTGTGTTTGTAGGGTGTTATTCGGGTTTATCTAGTTTCTGGCATTTAGATAGTACCTAGACCCCGCCAGCATGGACGATGATTCGTTCAGGGCTTGCCTCAAGATGTCGCTGCAGCTGCCGGTAGATTGCAGGTATTTTGGGAGGCAGCATGTTTGAAGGCTGTAGTAGCTGTAATAGTGCTTACGTTTAGTTGTGTGCATGATGCGGCCACGCGACTGACTGTTTCTTGCTTTGATATCCCGGTGATATCCCGTGTTATATCGCAGAATTCACCCGCCAAACAAAAAGACGGTTGCAACCCTCCCTAGCCAGCCATAGTAGTAGAGTAGGCCACTTTTAACCTTTTCAGGGGTACAATAACCCCTATATAATGCCAACAGGTAGCCTTTAGTTCCCTAGGATACTGGACAAGTAAGCAGCCCCTAATCCTCTCCCGCAAAGGGCATCGACTGGCGTTTGGTCCCACCACGACGTTTGTAGGTGGTGCAGTGAGACATAAACGGGAGAAACGCAACTTTTTCGGATACATTCCAGGTCAGTTACCAGCATGTAGACTTCTGCTAAAGCAGGCTAATCGCAACTCAGGCGATACAGGGGCCAGACTATTTACTACTAGCTATATGCATATATGCTGTAAATATTTGCTCCAAACCCCAATCATAATTGAGGCGCCTATACACTCATAAGAACCTCCTGTTTCGATCCTCTGTTCCAATGGCGAGGGTTTGACCTCGTGCTCGGTGCTTCTGCAGACCTCTCCACAGGAAGAGGTTCATAGTACTCGGGTTTCGGTTTAGGGTTTAGGGCCAGAAGCCCTTTTTTGCAGGGTCTTGAAGCAACGAGGGTTCCGCCGAAGTGGCCGGCTAAGTCCGGCCAGTGATAGTTCGCACGCCTAGCGAAGCCATCTTGGGTTGAGGGCGCAGGTCCTGAACCCTAAACCCTAAACCCTAAACTGGATAAGTGAAGAGGCGGAACCCCGTAAGCATCCCTGAAGCAGGGTTGACCGATCTCAAGCGGACTGAAATTCCCAGCTACGCTCCAGGACACTGTATGTGGTATGAGTGCTCATGTATTCTGCAAGAGCCACTTCAAGAATGGAATCACTTATGATTCCCAGACGCGACATAAGTTCACAGGCTCACGCTGCAACTCAGGAGTGCATCAGCAGGTAATCTAGGCTTGCGGCTTGAGATTCTAAACAGTTCTTCACACTCATCCAGCCGGGGGTACAATCCGATCATCCGAGCTCCTGGCATGCTAACTGATAGTCTCCATTGTATTTTTGGGGTTACCTTATGTTTCATCCTATAGCTGTAAAAACGGGTTTGCCCTAAACCCTAAACCCGTAAACCCATAAACCCTAACAGGAGCCATAGACCATCTGCGGAATAGGAAGAGGCCCTTAAAATGAAAGAAACAGGAGCCACAATGGGGACTACAGGCTGGTTCTGAGGAGATGAACCAACCCTTTCCCGAAGCAAACTGTTTGGAGAATGTAGCCTCCTTAGACCTTCATGAAAAGTCTATGGCACATCCTTGAAACATCCCTTTGAATAAAACTACCATTTGATAGTTCCCATGTCGAAATAGTCCCAAGGAGCACTTTGGGACCCTCCTATATCGATATATATATATATATATATATATGTATACAGTATGTGTGTGTCCGTGCCGACATCATTCTTGATGGGCCCTTAGTTTAAGCAGAAGCCTGAAGCATCAATGCTAAATATCCTATTCCCCAGTGTCATTCATCATACATTTACGAAGTACAACATCCCCCACAAACACCTTAGTCTAGATATTAGGGCCGCCTGGTATATGGCCTCAAGCTAGTTTAAGGCTTTCTGTAATCACCCCCACCCTCGAAGTTTGCCAAGCAACTCGATAAGTCTTAATCAAGATGTGTTGGAGTCGCTGGGTTCGACGGTCGAATTATTCCGTTTAGTGCAGTCGCAGTTGATCTTCAAGATGCAGTTCGAAAAGTGACCCGCGCACTGCACGCACGTAACCCTTTATAATATACGCCCTCAGCTATAAACCGTGACCCTAAACCCCGAATGAAGCCTAAGCCCGAAACCCGGGTTCAGGGGTAAGCTTCATAACCTAGCTGACACAATTCCGCAGAAGTAAGTAGACGGCTTTCAGAAAGCGAGCCGGGAATGCAGCTGGGTACTGCTAGCAGCTGCGAGTTTTTGGCACAAGCCCTGCCCACAGAACCTACCTTTCTAGGGCTCCTCCTTGTGGTTTCCTTCTCCGTTTCCGGATAATTAGGGTTTAGGGTTTTAGGGTTTAGTGGTAGGGTTTCCGCAGTTGCAAGTTTCCACAAAGCTTGGCTGCCAGGCTGCCGTGCAGAAAGGCACACCCATCCCGCACCCAGAGGAGCGAGTGGGCTGGGGTACTTGGAGGGTCGGGGGACTTAGTAAGTAGTTATTTTAGAGACTTATAAGTACCGTAACCCCTATTTAGGGTCCCTTCTAGGGTACTTATAAGTCTACTTACTACCTACTTACTAAGTCCCCCGACCCTCCAAGTACTAGGTTCCCCAGTCGTACCCGTACCCTGTTGCCCTTGTTGCTCTATAGGGCCTAGGGTTCTTATCCTTATTATCGGGGTTCCCAAACGTCCCTCCCTCTGTAGTCGCATGGAATTGGGTGATGGGTTGAGCTTCTGAAATTCCCGACACCTTAAGCCCTCTAAACCCAAAGCTCAAAAAGCCTCACAGCTCAATTTGGACTCACGGTAGTGTTTGGCAGGGTTTAGGGCCTAGGGTTTGGGCTGCGGGTTTGGGCCTTGAAGATTCGATGAGGGCTAGCGCTGCTGCTTCTCCGGGGTGAAGACTTTTCGAAGGACGTTCTTGTGAAGGAGTCACCGGAGTCACCCCTCGGAGTTTCTGCTGCAGGTTGTTTCGGCTTTCCGAAGCGCAGGACTCAGCGAGCTAGGATGCTTCGCGTTGGGGCTTTGGGTTTAGGGTTCTAGATCGAAACGTTAGAGGGAACTCCAGAAAGTTGAAATATGGATTAATGGTAGGATCCCCTATAGTTTACCTTAAAGGGGTTACGATAATGATATTCCAACTTTCTGGCTTCTACTGTAAGTGCTGCACCAGCTAAACTTTCAACCGTTGGAACAGGCCAAAGCCTGCACTTACCCAAAGGCTCGAACTATCCCAAAAGCCTTACGTAGCAGTGTTTTTGGGCCCAAATTATTTCAACAACGAGTCCTTACAGCCTTCCAGGACCCCAAAAGTGTGTAGAACAATAGTGTTTTACAGGCTGATGGCCACTATTTTACACACTTTCTTTTTTGGGGGGATGTTAAGAAAGGGTTACCCAGTGCTTCTGCCTTACCTGTAGTCTCCATTGTGGTTCCTATTTTGGTTGAGTCATTCTTATAGTTAGGATCCTACTTAAGGTAACTCCAACTACAATGGAGACTAAGGTATATGGGTAGTTCTCTAATGTAGGGTCCGTTTTGCAATAAGGGTACCGTGCTGTAACCCAGAGGGTCCAAGTACCCTAATCGGTAGGGTTTCAAGGTCCAAAACCCATTCAGATGATGAGTTTGAGGACCTGAAACCGTACTATTTGGGTACTTGGACCCCAACCCTAAACCTTGAATCCTAAACCCTAAACCCCTAAACCCTAAATCCTAAAAACCTTCTGGGCCAGAGTTACACAGTTCAGGAGCTGCTTCTGAGGATAGTCGCGGTCTCAGCTTTTCCAAGGGGGCCAGGGAACAAGGGGAGAAGGCGGTGTTGGGGTTTGGGGTTTAGGGTTTAGGATTTAGAGTTTGTGGGGTTTAGGGTTAGGGTTTTTGGGTTTTGGGTGTTGGGTTTTGGGGTTTAGGGTGTAGGGATTTAGGAAGGGGCTCACAACGGCAACAAGTTTGTACAAATGCCACATATCGAAGTGGTGTCGGACAGCAGGGTTGTACAAACTCATTCGTTGACGCGGCACTGACACTGACCGACCCCTACTCGAATTGTCATGGCCGCTGCATTAAGCTTTATACCCTACTTGGAGGATCATGTGACTTAGTAGGAGGTAAGGTTATAAGTACCTTAGTCTAAGTACTTATCTTAATTATAACCCCAGTGACTCCGTCCCATAACCCTTTAAGCATACCCCCACGTGCCAGAAAGCACTTCATACCTAACCTCCGGCCTTTTCGAGGCCACGGCGCTCTTGGGTGGGAGCTACTCTTCGCGCCAAGATGTGGAGGTGCTTCGGACTTCGGGGGGGGGGTCAGCATACCCTGAGGGCCTAATGGGTCGATATGTACCCATCTAGTACATAATTTCTGTGGCTGTGTAGTACGTGTTTTTGGTGTATATACTTTAGGGCCAGAGTATCTACGAAGGACACCCAGGCAAACAGGCCTGCACAAAGCTTAGCCGATAGGCGTACCCGGTTCAGCGGCCCACTCCGCTTGGTGAAGGGCAGGGAACAAGGCAGGTTAGGGTGATTCATAGCCAATGAAGGAGATAGCAGCTAGCGTTTGCGGCACCACAAGAACGAACAGCACTAATGGCACTTCTGGTAATTATGGCCATGCATAGTCTCAACTCGGAGCGGGTTGGACCATGGATGGACATCCATGGACATCATCATGGTTGGAGCAGAGATGCAGCGAACTTAGAACTGATTTGACCGTGGACATCCACGTCACAATGGTCGGGCCATGAATGTTCGGAACTCAGAACGGATAAAACCGACGCTCTCAACTCAGAACGGATTGGACCATGGACGTCGCAAGATGGTTGGGCCATGGATGCTTTCAGAAGGGTTAGACCCTGGAAGTCACCCATGGTTGGGCAAAGGGTGCTCTGATTGCAGAAGGGAGTAGACCATGGACGTCATCCTGGATGCGTTGAAATGCCATGACCTGAGAACAGCCACGAACTCAGAACAAATCACAGCGTGGACGTCATCATGGTTGGGCCATGGATGCACTGAGCCCAGAGTGGAGTTGATCATGGGCGTCAACATGATTGGCCCTAGCGGCTCTGAAATCAGAACGCGGAAAGCCACGGACAACATCATGGTTAAGTTAAAAAAATCTAGGCGCCTGCTCTCCGCGGCGCGAATGATTAAAGGCCCGTCTGTAGACCCTATAACCCTAAACCCTATACCCTAAACCCTAACCCACCTAAGAGAAGCGCCCCAATGTCCTTGTCGAGGCTGCGGTCTCATGGCTGCTGACGGGTGGCGGCGTTGGGGGGTTATCCCCCGTTGCGGAGGCCTGTGTTCGCTTGGAGTCCCATGTTTTCGTGACTTGTGTACTAGTTTGAGGCCTAGGAATGCGTGTGTATGCATGTAGATCTTCTGCGTAAACAGAGAGGGTGCAAGAAAAGAGGGACAGACAGACACAGACAGAGAGAGAGAGAGGGAGAGCGAGGGAGTAAAGTTTGATGGAGATCAGTGTTCGGGGGTTGAGCGAGTTGGGTTTAGGGTTTAGGATTTTCGGGGACGTCTGGGCCTTTCATTCATGGCAAATCGAAGGCGAGGCTCTGCCACGGTTCCACGTGGACTGAATTCCAGGCCTCGACCGTGGACAATACAAAGGTGGGAATCATTACAAGCTAAATCTGAACGTCCCCATATCGCCCCTGTCACCGAACTGTACGGAAATCTTAAAAACAAACGACTTAAGATGTAAGGGCCCTACATTGAGAGCCCTGAACCCTGGACTTCGAATGATCTCCTGATCCTCTAAGTTACACCATAGAAGTACATAGTAGTATCCTAAACCCAATACTTGACTACTGGGTTCTTTGGACCCTGACGGGGAAGCTGCATTCAAGGCCTTCGCCCTCGGCAGACTCAAGATCGAGATGTACTTCACGGTTTAGGGCTTTAGGGGTTTAGTCAATATAGCTATTCTATACCCATTTCATAGCCCATTATAGGGTATTGGTCCCCTTCAAGGGTCCCTCCTTTGCTCTTTGTGTTTAGGGTTTAGGAGTTTAGGGTTGTGGATGTACTTCTCGTAACAGGCCGTGTGAGTTCAATCAGTACTTGACCTGGCTGTACTTACAGCTGGCAAAATTAATCTGTGGAACGATGGTACCCTACCCTATAATGGGCTATATAATGGGTATATAATAGCTGTATTAAGGGTATATACCTAGGGGTTGTGGATGATGGTAGGTTCCATACGGTTGATGATATAAATCCTGCATTACCTTAAGTAATGACCCTAAACTATGGGAATTATTATGATATATTCCTTATGACGGGTAATGCAGGGTTTATATCATTAACCATAGGAATGGCAGGTGTTTGTCGGCATTGCAATGTATCGCGAGGGAGCGTGCGAATTTCAGAACACAAGGGCCTTTAGAAAAGAAGCCTAGGCTATAGGATCCTTCTCCTAAACTTCGCTAGAGTGCCCGGTTTCAAGACACTTCCATTTGCTGAATGTTCAGCCTGTGATACATTTCGACTAACTGTCGATATTCTTGTTCAGATTATTGAGCTCTTCTTCTTAATGTTTTTACACGGCTGCGAAAGCGAGCAGGATGCCTTGTCCACGTGCTTGACCTCTAGACAGGCCTTACGCTCTTGTTGCTCGCATCTTCGTGCGGTTTGATTTACGACGTGGGGGTTTGAGAAGATAAGGAGCCCCACTGCAAGACTTAGGTAGACTCAGATCTGAAGTAGCTTCAAGCTAGGCCTTACATTAGGTACGGCCCCCACTCAGTAATAGTTGAATCAGATTCACAATACAGATATATTAGGATCTTAATAGTAGCCGCAGCCCTATTATGGACTCTTACTGTAAGGGGGCCGTACCTAGGCCTTACAACCCTAAACCCTACTTCGGGACCCTAGGCCTGTACAGGACTATCGATTTCAGCTGAAGACTTTTCGCTCAGTAGCAAGTTGTCGTCAGTGCCTTCGCCTGAACCTACAATGCAAACGCAGCCCTTCAAAAGCGCTGTAAGCGCCCGGGCGCTAACCCTTAGCAGGTAAGTGTCCATAGAAACCACAATGTCCATACAGTTCCGGTGATTGGGAAGTTGTAGAAGATAATTGTCGCCCGTACACGATCCTGAATCAGTGTAGTATAATGGCCTCAACCCTACTCTAAGTATTAAGGCAACTTTTTTTTATTTTTTTATTTTTTTTTTTGGGGGGGGGGGGTGGGGGGCTTTGGTGTTTGAGGAGGGCGGGGGCCCTGGGAACGCGAGGTCGAATCCTCAGAGACTCCAAGAGCCCTTGAGTTTAGGAATACACCTAAAATTATTGTAGGATCCCGAAAGAGCCCTTCATTAAGGAATATACCTTGATTTATAGTCAGACTCTTAATATGATGTAAGGACTATTCCTTGATTCAGGGATGTTGGAGTCTCAGAATCTTTGGAGGTCATGGACAACTGACGGAAGACTCAGACCCCCGGGAGGATCTAGAAAGTAGATAGGTAGATCCCTGAATGACGGGTCCTCTAAAGTACCCTTGAGTAGACAAGGGGCCCCCAAACTAGGGGTTCTAAACATGCTACAAGACATGGGCCGCCACCCTCTTCCCCATAGACTCCTAACACAAGTGAGCCTTGGGGCCTCCCTCCGCCGGAACCAAAAAGTATTATATTTTTTAAAACGGGGTAGTAATTACTCCGCTGGCCTGCGTAGGGCAAACGACGTAACGACACTTTGAAGTACTCCGCTACTCCGCAAGAGCTTGTCTGTAAAATGATGTACAAGTGGGTCGAAACTTTCGGCCCGGCGATGCCTCCTGAATCGTTTCTTAGACGGGGATGTCTGTCTAAAGGGGACCTGAAGGAGGTCATTAGGTAGGGCACTGCACACCTCACAGCCCAGGCACAGACCCGCAGCAGCACACCAGCAGCACAACACATCAACCAGCTTCGGTGCATGCCATCGTGCTTGCGTTGGTGGGTGAAGGATTGGGAGCTTTTCCTCTACGGCGACCGGTACTGCGAACCGAACTTTGTGGAGATCTTGTTCGGCGACGACTACCTGCCAAGCACCAAGTCTGGTCGGAAAACCTTGAAGGACTATTTCAACAAACGTCTGAGGGCGCAGCACAGCAAGAGCGCTGGTCTGTCAGCAAAAGGCTAGGGGCCGACTGGGCGGGACAGCGTCGCTGTCAAGATTGTCCTTGAGCAAGTTGGGGATCATTACGGTTGATGATATAAATCCTGCATTACCCATAATAAGGCATATACCATAATTCCCATAGTGTTGGTTCCTAGAGGTAATGCAGGATTTATATCATCAACAGTATTGTTAACTCCATGCTGAGGCAGGCTTTGGTGTTTGGGGTTTCAGGGTTCAGGTTTCAGGGCGTAGGTGTCAGCCCCGCAACCAATCTCAGGCCTCCCTACAACCCGCTAGCTGAGGCCTAGGATTTGCTGTTTCGGGAAAACTCCCTGCCACCACCCTAAACCCCTAAACCCTAAAGTTTTAGGTTAAGGGTTTGGGGCATAGGGTTGATTCAGGCCACAAGGCTCAATTTACCTACGCTTAGGCCTCCAAGTGCTTTCGAGGCCTGAATATCGACTACATGGATACATGGAGCCTTAGGGGTATAGGTTATTGCTCGCCAATCCTGCTTCGAGGGTCGGGGCACTTACTAAGTAGAGAACAAGCATAGATTTATGAGCACGCTGTGCGGGGTCCTATAATTTCGGTTATGATAACTTACAAGTCTACAAACTACCTGCTTACTGAGTCCCCCGACCCTCCGAGACCCCTCAAAGAACCCTTATGGATCCCTAAAAACGCACCCTCAAGGAACCCCTATGGATCCCTCTAAAGGGTTCCGACCCTAAAAGAACCCTAAACCTTGGACCCACGAAACCCTTAAATCCCTAAACCCCTAAACCGTGGCAAACCCTAAACCCTGAACCCCTAAACCCTAAACCCCTAAGCCCTAAACGCCTGAACCCTAAACCCCTGAACCCCTAAACCCCTAAGCCCCTGAACCCTAAACCCTTAAACCCCTATAAACTCCTAAGCCATAAACCCCTAAATCCTAAACCCCTAAACCCTGGCAAACCCTATAAACCCTGGACCCCTAAAATCTAAACCTCTAAGCCGTAAACCCCTGAACCCTAAACCCCTGAACCCCTAAACCCCTAAGCCCCTGAACCCTAAACCCTTAAACCCTAAACCCCTTAGCCCTAAACCCCTGAAACCCTAAACCCTAAAACCGAAGCAGTTCGGCCACGGTGGCGCCTCGCGGGTCGCTTGCCTCGTCGGGGCGATGCTGGCGCGACCGCCGGGGGCTGGGCAGGTGGCGCTGAGGGTTTAGGGTTTAGGGGTTTAGGGTTTAGGGTTTAGTGTGTTTTGTTATCGGCTAAAGGTTTCCAAGAGGGTCCATATACGCTACGACAGTGGAATTAAGTCCCAAAAACCATAGTCGGGATGGTCTTTTGGGACCTAATTCCATAATGGTAGTGGATATGGGCCCTCTGGGTGTGTGTGTTTCGGGAACGGCGTAAGGCTTGGAGAGTTTGAGGGTTCAGCATGGGGTTTGCTACATTTTCAGGCTTTGGGAGCCAGCGGTTTAGGGGATTTGCGATTTGCATGCTTTCCGGTTTGGGTTGTCGGGTCTTTGGCGCTTAAAGCCTGGCGGTGAGGGCTTTGGATCTCCATTCTACTTGGAGGATCATGGGATTATGAAGGTTATAAGTACCTTAATTGGGGTTATAAGTGAATATAAGTACAGTTACCGTCATTATAACCCTAGTTACTGAGTCCCATGACCCGAGGCTTATCACATTTGTTCAAGGTTCTTGAGGACATATATTCGACGGGCTTGAAGCATACTTAAGGGTTCTTTCTGGGTTCTGTAACAGGAGCCTTACGGTAGGGCTTGAAGCTGCTGCCATGTCCCACTTCTCGACGGCCTTTTGGGTGGTTTGCGAAGAGTAGTTATTTTAGAGACTTATAAGTATCGTAACCCCTATTTAGGGTCCCTATTAGGGTACTTATAAGTCTACTTACTACCTACTTAAGTCCCCCGACCCTCCAAGTATAGAGCTTGCCACACGAAGAGCCGTGCTTTTTTTGAATGCTCCCGAGACCCTCGCCCCGAAGCGCTTCATCCCAAGGCCGTTTGTTCAAAGCTCAAGATCAGCAGCTGAAGTCTGATCTCGGGGTTTTTTTTGGGAGAACCCCCATACTGTTATTCATGAACCTTCTGCGCGTCGCTAGGTTATGTTGCGTGGAGGGTTTTGGCGTACATCCTAAACCTTCATTGCGACGCATTAAATCCTAAGTTTCACGGGAAAATCCGTTCCCGCATAAACCACTAATATGAGCCCCTCATAAAGTAAAGCCTTTTGAGACCTTCTGACACCTGACAAGCCCTAAAACCCTAGAGTTTGCATTGCAGCGCCAGCATCTTTTGCTGGAAACCTGTGCTGTGCAGGCTCCAGACCAACGCATGAGGCTCGCTGTTGGTTGCGCGAGGTTATAAGGATCAGGAAGCGTACCCGGACGGTTCGCAGCCTGGGGAGTTCAGATGCAACTCAACTCCGAATAGAAGTAAATATCAATGGGGTAACCTGAAGTAGAGTGTGCATGAATACATGCATGCATACATGTTGAGCTCAAGTCGTTGAGCATGGCACTAGACCCTCATAAGCTGATAAGAGCTACTTGTAGTTGCGGACTTGAAATCTCGTGTTTCGAAGCTGAGTAGTTACGGGATGTAGCGTTCAACCTTGAGGTGTTGTGGCCTTCACGCAACTAGGCTTTCGCTTTGTGTTCGTCGATATCTTCTGGGCAGTTGAGGCCCTCTCCGTCCAGAAGTTTAAGGTATCTCTCTTCTAGAGGCTTCGCCCCAAACTCGACAGCTCTCCATGCGACTGGCTCAAACCCGGCGGCAGCTTCTTGTCCAGCGACCTTGCCTTTAGGCCTTAAGGTCCATGTCAGTAGCCATGTAGTATATACTGCGGCCTGAAAGGGATTCCTATATAGGTCCTTCGTGGCCAAAGTGAACCCTTACTGAAACCTTAACCCCAAACCCTTCAACCCTAAACCTTAAACCCTAAACCCTTAAACCCTAAACGCTAAACCCTTAAACCCTAAACTACCCCTAAACCCTTAAACCCTAAACCAATTACAGACCTCTATGACTCTATGACCGAGACGTACCCAAAACCCCAAATCTTCCAGGCCCTGCAGCACCTCGCCGAACAAAGCCTCCTGGCAAGAACTCATGGACTTTCTTACCCGACCATTAGGGTGTTCGTGTTTGTAGTATAGAGTTTAGGGCTTAGGGTTTGGGGTATTGGGTTGTTCGTGTTTTTAGTGGTGGATGTGGAATGTGGTGTTGTATAACTAGGATGCCCAGTAGTACCCTTATTCCCTTTTTGTAGTCCTAGGTTCCTTATACAGTTACCCAATACCAAAAAGAGAGGCCTTTTTATTCTTAGGTTACTGGGTATCCTAGATAAGGTTGTATCGGGGGTTTAAGGCCCAGGGGGTTGGGGTGGTTAGGCTCCATGGCCTGTCAGGCAGCGAGCTTGTCACTAACTCAAAACTCGATTTAGTCTAGGGGCCTACCCAGAGGCCCAGTAGTAGTTCCTTTTTGGGATTACCTTATAGGAACCTGTAAAAGAACCCCAAAACGGAACTACTTTGGGGCCTCTGGGTAGTTTCCAGGATGTTAGTGCTTTGTGTTTTCAGCTTCGGGGCTTCGATGCAGAAGAGCCTCAGACTTATAGGTATCTCAGTTAGGGTCGCTGTTATAGCAGGGCTTTATGTCTACGTTTACCTACTTACTGTTTCCCCCAGCCCTCCAAATACTTTTGGGGATTGTGGTAAACCCACACAAGCCCCAGAAATCAAGGCAAAAACTGCAACCTCCAGTGCTGGAGTTGTCTTCTGAGTGCCTCTGAGCTCGGCTTGCGGAAGCTAAACGTTGAATCTGGGGAGTTCAGGATTTCAAGCCTGATTGAGCGGTTCTCAGAGTTTAGGGTGCAAAGGTTTAGGAGTTCCAGTCTATTCTAGCTTAGGGTTTGGGGTTGTCATGTTCTTCAGGTGAAGGTTTCGAAAAGTTCGAGTACTGGAAAGAGAGCACGTTGGAGGCTTTTCAAGCCACAAAAGGTGCTTGTTCTATGCTGGGGTCCTTTTACACCCCAGTTCAGAACAGCCCTCAACCGAATTATTCTTTGTATGCGTTTCACTCCTTAGCACAAGCGCACTGTCAATCCACACACGGGCCGGGATATACCAAGCCTTTACGTAGCATCTTCGGGTTGATATCCAAAACCCTACATGGACCCCAATAGCATCTAGAACACTGGCATTTGAGGTAAAGTAAGGGCCATTATTTTACTTACTTTTGGGGGCTTAGGCCCACCCGAAACCCCGGCTTGGGTTGAATGATGTGTCCAGCTGCGTACCTGGGGAGAGGCCACGCTAGGCCGGATAGGCCTGACAACGCACCTGCCGTCTGAAATTGATTCGTGGGTTTGGGGTTTCCCAAAGGGTCCTAGGTACTGTGAGTAATAGTAGTATAGTAGTAGTAGTAGTAGTAGTAGTAGTAGTAGTAGTAGTAGTAGTAGTAGTAGTAGTAGTAGTAGTAGTAGTAGTAGTAGTTATAGTCGTGGTGGTGGTGGTGGTGCTGCTGCTGCTGCTGGTCCACTTTGATTGTGGTTACTGTCAGTGTTGTTGTTATTAAAAATCATCATCTAGCACCTGACAACTTCGCCCTTCCAGAGGCAGAGAAATCACCACCTGGGGATAGTGGCAAGACAATCAGGCCAACCGGCCCTGCGCCTGGGGTAGGGTTATATGTTTGCGGTTGTCAAAACTAGGGTCCCTTTTTGGGTCCCTGTTCTAATACGGCACCTATTACCCATAAAGGAACCATAATTTTGACAACCACCCATATAAAATCGGTTTAGTGTGTAAGGGACTGCGGTTTGGCCGGAATGGGCCTTCATCTTCATTTGCCGCCGAATCGAGTTTCAATGCTTTGCGGCGAGGTGCAACCAAGTGCAGGCCTTGGACAAGAACCGCTGGGGTGGAAGTCGATAGTCGCCATTGTCCTCGACTCAAGAGGCGGACCGCCATGCAGCCAAGGCCATTTTGAGCCTATACTGACAGGCTCTCCTCGCCATGATGTGCCACAGTTTGTGTAACTACATGAGACGGCAAATAACCTAGAAAGAGAACAACCTGTTGTCAGCCTCGATATAGGGGCCTTAATAATTATAAGAAGATGGCTTTGGGGCCCATTCTACTATACATAATAAGGAACCCCCAAAATGGTATCGGTAATTATCTAGGCGCCTATATTAGGTGGCGCCATTCCGGGGAGAGACGTCGAACGTAGGCCCGTCCCCGAAAACCGCGAACAGCAATTCGGCTCTGGACGTGGGCAACGCTGCAGCCACTCCCCGCAAGGCAGGATTTGGGGGTTTAGGACTTGGGGTTTAGGGACAGGGTTAGGGTTTTGGGTTTACGGCGAAGGGTTTAGGTCTTGGGGTTTAAGGGTTTTGGGGTTTAGGGTTTAGGATTGGGATTTGTTTTGTTGGTTCTTGCAGGGATCCGGGTCTTGTAAAAGCCATCGGCCTCCAGAGGTAAAAATACGATGCCTAAAGTTTAACTGCGTCGCCAGAAGCCGTGCCGCATTCCCGAAGTCATGCATACTAGTGTTTTTGGCGGGGATCCGTATCTGTACAACGGCTACTACTCCTACTACGACAACACCTACTCCAACCATATCAGTACGGCGACGACGGCGACAGCTCCTACGCCTGCTAGTCAGTGTTTCCTACATCGAACTTGTAGCAGCGTTACCCACTTAATACCGTCGCCTTGGTACAGCATTAATGGCTGCTTGTGCCCAGACCCCACACCCCGGAAGGATCCAAATAGTAGATCCCTTAAAGGGGGTTCCGATAAAGTACCTTTTAGCTAGGATGCCCAGTAGTACCATTATTCCCTTTTTGTTGTCCTAATGTTACCCAATACCAAAAAGGGAGCCCCTTTTTTTCCTAGGTTACTGGGCATCCTAGTCCTGGTCTAAGGACCCCCAAAATAAGGTACCCCCTTCTTTCGGAAACTCCCATAAAGCACCCTTTACTTCCTATAAAGTACCCTTTACTTCCTATAAAGTACCCTTTAGTGGATCGGGTCCCAAGTGTGGGGATCTACTCTTCGGGTCCTCCCGGGCCTCTGGGTGGATGCGTGCGCCGCAGTTTCTGGGCGGCTGCTTCGGGAGGCGGCAATCTAGCAGCTAAAATGATCAGTGATATTGTGCCCTTGTAGTCCCTATATAAGTATAACTATAATTATAACTATATGGGAGTTTCCGAAAATAGGGGACCCTAATATAGTCCCTTCTAAATAGTAGGATCCTTATTGTAAGGACCCCAAAACAAGGTAACCTTAATTTTCGGAAACTCTTAACCCTAAACCCTTTATCAGACCCTTATAGATCCCTTTAACGAACCCTTTTGTTTAACCCTTTTTTTTTGAAACTCCCATATACTATGTTAACCCCTGGGCCTACCCGAACCCGAGATCCTAAGGTCCTAAACCCTGAATCCTAAACCCTACCTGGACCCTGAGGAACCTACCTTTTTTAGGGTTCCCTAATATGATTTCTTTATGTAAGTCCTTAAAAGGGTAGGTTACTTGGGGTCAAGGTACGCCCTAGATCCTCAATGCAAATCCTAATCCCTAAGCCCTAAATCCGGCGTAGATCCTATCCCGAAGCCCTCGAACCTTAATCCCAGACTGTAAGCCCCACATCCCATAAATTCCAAACTCTGGCTTATTCCTGTGTTTCAACGACTCAATCAGGTTTCCCTGCGGTTCCGGGGTTGCGGAGTTCGCGCCGCCAAGGGGTATCTCAAGAAAATCGGGAAGGGGGCTATAGGGTTTAGGGTTGAGGGTTTAGGTTGAGCTTTTTAGGCTTAGGGAATAGGGTCTGAGGTTGATGTTCTTTTTTGTTTAGGGTTTAAGGTTTAGGACCTGTCGGGCTTTTATAAGAAGGATCCTACTCCCTAAGTGGATCAGAAGAGGCTGAAACTCCTAAGTGTGGGACTTGCCAGCAGTTGGATCCGAGCAAACCTGAACCCAGTAATGGCAGACTGTGACTGAAGGCGACTGTGGGATTTAGGGTCCGCGGGGTGGGTTTAGAGTTAGGGCAGGGCTTGATCGAGGTGTTGTTGATCTGCAGAAAGCCCGAAGCCCCACAGCCCACATGTGAAAACACCAAACCTAAAGCCTTTGTATAGCGACCTATGTGCTCCTCTCGAATGCCTCGCTCCACACAAGTACAGCTGCGACCAAGCCGCCAAAAGAAGCTTCTTTCAGCCTTCATATGTCACAAACCACAATCCGAAATGCATTCTCGAGTCGACTTCGAACCCTCCAATCACTTGTTTGGGTTCAGGGGTGTAGGAGTCTAGGAGTTAGGTGTCTGGCTGTTTTCAAACTTCAACATGCATTTTCTGTAGGACCTTGTTACAGTCAGAACCCTTTAGACAACCAGGTGGCATTAGTGAAGCCTCTTGTGGAACAAATCCCATGTGCTCATCGTTTCGTTATCTCGCAGCATTCGCTAAGATTTAGACATCAAGGTCCCTTGTTGGTCGAACTCAATGTGCAGTCACTGCTGAGCCACAGCTGCAACCTCGAGCATCCTGAAGCTTCTAAACCTAGGATGCCCAGTAGTACCCCAAAATAGTAGCTGTCATTACTTTGGCCTCGATATTAAGGACGAAAAGGGTGTTCGGGACTTTCACTCGAGTCTTTTGGTTGCGCTTTCAGGCTTACGGGCTTCAGGGGTTAGGGCTCCGGGTTTGGGGTAAAGGATTACTGGTTGAGGGTGCAAGGTTCAGGGTAGGGTTAAGCTCAAAGTTGAGGTGCTCAAGCAAGGCCGAACGGTCACTTGTACTGCGCTTTGGGCTGCATCTTGAACCGCAAAGGGTACCGAAAGATCTGCGCCATGTCGCATGAGGCTGAAGCTATAAGGATGCACAGGTTTGACGTTGAACTCTTGGCCCCATACCTCAAACTGAAACTCGACCTCCCTGACAACATGTCTCAAAGGCTGTGTCCAGATAAAAATCTTTTGCGCATGTACCACTGGTTGTAGTTGCAGTGGTTGTAGTGATTGATACTGCTGTTGTTGTTGCTATCGCTGCTGCTGCTGATGGTGCTGCTGGTGGGGTTGGTCTTGGGGTTGCTGTTGCTTCTTAGCCCTTCTCGACCATATTGCAATCTCAGCGCATGTTACGAGGGCGTCTCTCAAGAATGCATCGTTTGCAAAACACACTGGCTAGTCATACCGTTGCCATTCAGTAGGACCGCTATAGCATGAGAGTCCTAAAGCTTGTCTTCTGCCCCCGCAGATTTCATGGACAGACATGTCGGAACTAGCATGAGACGGTTTCTACGATACCCAGTAACCTGAGAATAAAAAGGCCTCTCATTTTGGTATTGGGAAGCTTTATAAGGAACCTAGGACTACAAAAAGGGAATAAGGGTTCCTCACTAGCATATTATAACGGAGCCCAAAATCCTATTCTAATCATAAAGGTGTACGGTGCCGCAAGAAGCCATTCTGATGATGAAGGCCCCTGTATCAACCCCCATAGAAAGCTACACACCCTGAGCTGAACACCGAACACAACAGACTTCCCAACTCCCGTACAGCACCAAAATTCCCAAGCCCTGTGCCTTAACAGTTCTAATCGGCTCTTCGTGGTATACAAAACTATGGACATGTACCAAGTACCCTAACCCCTAAACGTTAGACCCAAAACCCCTAAACCCTAAACCCTCAAAGTTGACGTCCTTGCTGCCATCCTTGCAGCAACGGCCTTCCGTCCACCAAAGGCCATCTCTTCGTCCGGCGTTTTGCTTAACATCCGGGGGCCTTCATACCTAGGCCTCCCAGTGGTCCCTTTGTTACTTTTTGTAGTCCCAGGTTCCTTTTAAAGTTACCCAATACCAAAAGGTTGCCCATTTTAGTCCCAGGTTACTGGGCATCCTAGATACTAACACCAAAAATGACCAACAACAATAGTAATAGTAATCGTAAAAATCACAAATCATACTTAGACTTCTAATCATGGAAATATTAATCATCTCAGAAAAAAAGAGTAGTACATGAGAGGGATAATAACCGTAATAAGAATGATCATGCGAACAAAATGAAAATATTAGTAACAATTATCATTCCCGATAGTAGTACTGGCAATAGCCGTAGCAGTGATGAAACAGACAAGAATATTAACTAGGGTTGCTGCAGTGGTCTGACTAGTTGATAATGATATCCGCTTTGCATACAGGCCCTGTGGTATATACCCGCAACCCTAAAACGTGAATGCTAAGCCCAGAAACCCTAAAATCCCTAAGCCCTCAACATCAAACCTTCAACCGCATCGTTACCATGCTTGACCAATCTTGAGGTTCGAACCCGAAACCGTAGGGTTTACGGTTTAGGGTTTAATCTCTCCGCTGAGGGAACTTCTTAAGGCTTTGGGCCGCGGTCTCTGCGGGTCAGGGCTTCTTTCGATCGACCGATGCGGGAGGCTCGGAGATGAATCTGGTGTAATACCTAAGACTCATCGAATAATACGTAGTAGTAACAATACCAACTAGAATAACAGTAGTTAGTAATTTTCATAAAAAGAGTATCAGTTAGAAGACGGGACCTCGACAGTGACTCTGAAATGGTAAGATTCGTTTTCCATGACCCCCGAAAAAAGGGCTCAGGATTTAGGGATAGGCGTTCCACTAATCCTCGCCGCCCTCCATGTTTCTGCTTTATGTCTACAGAGGAACATGTTGGCTCAGGCCATTTGATAGCCTTGTGCACGCGAGCTTCTAACTACATCGTTTGCTGGGTAGGTTCGCTCGAAACCTTTCCCTTAAAGCTCGGCCATGAGACACTAATATAGGGGCCTAAATAATTAGAGTAGGGTTCCTTTTAAAGGGGTCTACAAGGGTTACTATAAGGGATACTACAAGGGTACTATACCATTGGGGCCTTAGCATTTAGAATAGGGTTTGGGGTGATATTACATGATAAAATTGTAATAGGGAACCCCCCAAAGCCGTATTCTAATTGTTAAGGTCCCTGCATGAAGCGCCATGGCGCTGTAGCCATGGAGACCTATAGCCTTGCCCTCTCAGCCGGCTGCCTTAAACTCCTACGTACGACCCTGAACCAGATTCAAAGCCTCCGTTGCGGCGGAAGTTCAGCCCGAAGTCTGAAGCCCTGAAAGCCCTGAAGCCCGGAACCCTAAGCCCTAAATCCAAGAAAAAAATGAAACCCAGAAAGCCCATGCCCTATACACCCCAAACCCCAAGAACACTGAACGGTAAAGGCCCTTTCAAACCTTTTCCCTAAACCCCTAAAATGCTAAAGCCCCAAAACCATCAAACCCTGAAGCCCGAAAACCCTACTTAAAGGCTCATGGGACTTAGTAAGTAAGGTTATAAGTAGGTTATAATTATGATAACCCCACTTGGGGAACTTTTTCACCCCAATTATAACCTACTTACTAAGTCCCATGATCCTCTTAGTAGACCCTAGAACCCCAAACCCCATTAAAACGTAGCCATGGCGGAGTCCCTGCCAGCCGGCTGCCCCGAGTTTTGGCAACCTTGCCACCACTGGGGGTTTAGGGATTGCCTTTACCCGGAAGAACTTTTTTAGGACTTATATAAGGAAATCATAATAAGGAACCTAAAAAAGGTAGGTTGTTCAGGGTTAAGGTAGGGTTTAGGGTGTAGAGTGGCGGATGGTGGTTTAGGGATTAGGGTTTATGCAGGCAGTCTTGGGACAATCCAGAAGCGAATCACTTGTGGATCAACTACATAAGGCATGACGTCTCAAAGGATCTAAAGGGATTAGGGTTTAGGGTGTAGAGTGGCGGATGGGGGCTGAGGGATTTTATCCTGTTCGAGTTTCAGCAGGGTTTTGGGGTCTAGGGTTGTATAGGGTTTGCAGGGTCTTAAGCTTTGGCAGAGTATGGTATGTAGGGATTACAGGGTTCAGCTTGCATGGTCCAGGAGTTAAGGCTGCTTAGCACTGAACGAAACATTGTAGTAGATAAGTACCAGTACTAAACTTGACAAACAGCGGAACAGCCGTATATAGCAGGACAAGTACCAGAGCTAGAAGAAATGGCTGCATTGCTGCGCTTGTGGCAGTAAACATAATGAATGATCACAACGACGCCGCAAAGCCAATCGAGTATCAGGAGCAATGGCCTTCTGGACCCTTATGAACAGCGACACTGCGCAATCAAATCTGAGACTGCAAGCATTCCCAGTAAATTGAGCACGCTTTGGCAAGAATCGTCTTTGGCACCAGCAGATGAAGATTTCGAGCATAATATAGGGGCCTTAATAATTACAATAGGGTTTTGGGGCCCGCTATACTATAATGATAGTAAGGAACCCCCCCAAAATAGGATTGGTAATCATTCAGGCCCCTTTTTTCTAGTACCCTTTCAGCAACCCTTATGGACCCCTTTAAAGGCACCCTGAGGACCCTTTAAACGGGGAGCATGCCAGAGTAGGTCTCCCAGCAGTCGGACAGCAAAGGTACATGCTCGCTGCTGCAGTTGGACTCGTACTCTTCGGTGGGATGATACCCTAATCCCTGAACCCTTAAAACCTATATAAACCCTAAACCCTGAACCCTTAAAACCTAGATAAACCCCAAACCCTGAACCCTAAAACCCTGAAGGTGGGATGATGAGCGGGCTAACCCTCGGCCTCCTGTCCGTCGAGGAGTCTTCGTCAGAACGGGTTTAGGGTTTTGCGGGTTTAGGGGTTTTGGGGGTTTGGGGGGTAGGGTCGCCCTCCCGTACATGCCCCTGAATCAGCACAGGCTTTGGGTTTCGGGTTAAGGGAAGAGCGTACACGGCCCTGTGCCGGCGCTGACGCACTTGATGTCACCACCTGAGTATCCATGGACGTGTTTAGGTCTTACGGCGACTGCGAGGCAAGGCTTGACCGTCGCAATCTTGAGGTCTGAGCCATACTAGTTTAGGGCTTATAGGGTTTGGGGTTTAGGGTTTCGTATTACTGAATTTCGGCCTTCGGGGATTTAGTTCTCCAAAGCCCTAAGACCTTCAGCCTCAACCCACCGCAACCCTAAACCCCAAAAGCCCTAAACCCCAAGAACCCTAAACCCTAAAGCCCCACGCCCTGAAGCCCTAAACCTAGAAACCCTAAAGCCCTAAACCCTAAAGCCCCATACCCAAAAGCCCTAAACTTAGAAACTCTAAAGCCCTAAACCCTAAAGCCCCATACCCAAAAGCCCTAAACTTAGAAACTCTAAAGCCCTAAACCCTAAAGCCCTAAGCCCTAAAGCCATTCACCCTAAAGCCCCACACCCTAAAGACGTTAAACAACAAAAAACCCTAAAGCCAAGTTACGCGCAAGGAGCTGGAACTCAGCATCGTCCAGCGTGTGGGTACCCCTTCGGAGCAGAGGATGGCTACCGCTGCACCTTGATCAGGATCAAGATAGAGGTTTACTTTAAATTCAGGGTTCCTTAAAGGGATCTATACAGGGGTTCCATAGGGTTTCTGTCAGAATACTACAAGGAAATTTCTCTAAATTAGGTTCTCCTTTCAGGCCTCAACATAGTACGGCGCCCTTGCAAAAAGTACCCTAAAAAGGATCCTACTCTATAGAACTACCCATATGGAGGTCTACATCACCAGTAGCTGCTTATGATATCCTCTTTGACCCCGTAAGTCTTGTTGCACCCCCCAAACCCAAAATACCAGACCTCAAAGCACAGTTGGCGCCATGGGTTCACCTTGCTCATATATATATATATATATATATACACCATATATGAATAGATGCACATCTGTATTTGTGTATATATATATATATATATGTATACATGTGTATAATATCGCCAGATAGAAAGATAGACATCAGACCTTGTTCGGCACCAGGCCTGGAGACCGTATGTCATTCGTTCTCGTCTTCCGGCTGCTAGCAGGTCCGCGGCCTCATCAAACGGAAGCACCTGCTGCTGGTGACGCTTCTGCTGTGTAATGCTCTCGCTATGGAAGCATTGCCCCTGGTGCTGGACCGGCTTCTGGGTTCGTGTTAAATGATCTAGTATAAGTTGCTATAATAATACGGATCTATAGTAATTCAGGGTTGGTTCTTGTTAACGGATTTTGTAAAAGTTACCAGAATATGGATATAGTTAGAAATTAGCATGGTTTCTTTATTATGGCATTTTTTAGTAAGTATCATTACCATGGTTTCCTAATTTCACTTAAACCCCTCAACAAGAACCCAGGCTTGTTCCTGGCATCGCCGCCGTGGTGATCTCTGTGACGGCAGTACTCGTTTTCGGGGAGATTCTCCCCCAAGCGTTTTGCAAGGCCTATGGCCTTGCAGCTGGCGCAGCTGCAGCTCCTGGGTTTAGGGTTTTCGGGGTTTAGGGATTAGAGTTTACGGTGTTTCAGGGTTTAGGGTTTAAGGGGTTTAGGGTTTAGGGGCTTAAGGTTTAGGGGTTTAGGGGTCTAGGGTTTAGGGTTTAGGGTTGGTTCTTGTTAAAGGGATTTTGGTTTAAGTTACTACAATAAGGATCCCCTTGTATGATAACTTAAATTAAGGTAAGTTACCATAATAGGGAAACCATATTAATTACCACAGATACTCTGTTTAACGTAATTCAAATTAGATTCCTTATCAAGAACCCAGGCTCCTCTTGTGCGCTGTCTCTTGGTCATCTGCTTTCCGATTGCTTGGCCCATCGCCAAGATGCTCGACTGCCTTCTCGGACATGATGAGGGGAATTTCTATGAAGGGGCGCAGATGGCAGCTGCTCTCGAGATACACAAGGAGAAGGGCCATCTCAGCACCGAGGAGGCTGCCATCATGCAAGGTGCTTTGAGCATGGCACGGAAGCGGTCTCAGGCGGGTGTGCCTGTCCCTTCCAAGTCTTTTCATTATACCACATTAGGACCTGTGGGCGAGGGTAGGAACAGGAAGAGACGTAACGTGCAGTAATTAAATTAGAAGTGGCCGCCTAGCCTTGTACGGCCCAGTCCCATAATATTTTGTGTGCGTTTTAATCGAGCCCAGCCATCAACACCGGCCCACTCTCCTCCCTCGAAGCCGGTAACCTAGAGCCCTGCATCAGTAAGCCCTGTGCTATTCAGGGCCAATGGAATCCCAATTGAGTACTCCTCCTCCTCATGAAAAGGAGCGGCCCAATCCCAAAGTTTCCGAGCTTTAGCTGCGAAACCAGGATGCCATACACCGAGCCCCCCTCCTTCGCTAACAGGTGGAGAGATTCGAAGGGTCATTGAGGGTACATGGGAGCAGTGGATATGCAAAAATGTCTAGTGTCCACTCATGTGGGTGTTCCCGAAAACAGGGGACCCTAGTATAGTACCCTAAATTGTCGGATCCTTATTATAAGGACCCCAAAATATAGTACTCTAATTTTCGGAAACTCCCATGTGCAGGATGGCATGACCCCACTCGATCGGGTCCAGTCCCTTGCTGCAAATGCAGTCCTCGACGCAAACACCCTGGACTGGATCATGAAATCAGGCTACTCAAGTCCAAGCCCTGACCCTAGTCCCCGCACCCTAAACCCCAAAACAACCCTTGAAACCCTTAATTACACCCAAAGCCCTACAACCGCTACTTTGCTATGTATAATACACCCCACCTCTGTCCCTAAACCGAAACCCTAAACCTTAAACACTAGACCCTATAAACCCTAAATGAGGCTACTCACGCATTCCGGTGCATGAGCAAGGCGAGCCGACGAAGTTTGTCGGCTACCTCCTCGTCAAGAAGCTGATCACCCTAAGGCAGGCAAGGGGTTGAGGATTTTGGTTTAGGGTTTAGGGGTTGAGGATTAGGGTTTAAAATTAGGGGTTTAGGGTTTAGGGGTCCTGGTTCGGGGTTTAGGCAGGGCCCATGTTGTCAGCGCTTCTTCAGAGTCACCGCAGGTATGTGTTTCTGATCTGGATACTAACTTCAAGAGTTGTGGAATTGGGGGCAAAGTGAGGCCAGAAGATGCGTGGCCGGTGTCCACCCAACGACTGAATCCGTTGGTGCTGCTGGGCTCTTGTTGAGGAACTGAATTTAAGTCACCATAATAAGGAAACCTTTTTATTTACTAGAGATCCCTATTATGCTGACTTAAACCCACCATAAAGAGGAACCGTATTCCGTAGTAGAGATCCCTCTTAAGTCTTTATGGTGATTTAAAATCGAATTCTTTAACAAGAACCCAGGCTGGTACTCGAGGACCAGCCGCTCTACAAGATTCTGGACATCTTCCAAACAGGCCAGACGCACATGGCTTTGGTGTATCCCAAGGGTACCGATCTCTCATCCAGCTCGAGCTTCGCTGCTACTCCTCTGGGTATTCTCACCTTGGAGGATGTGCTTGAGGAGTTGATCAACGAAGAGATCGTGGACGAGACAGACCGGTTCATCGATGCGGCACATGAGGAAAAAGGACCAGCCGAGCAAGTTCGCCAACTTTCTGCAGAGTCGGTGTCGAATGATGGCTTTGTCTTTACTGCGCCGTGCACCTTCGCGTCATCAGCGATGACGCGAATGGCCATGAGAAGGCAGGTAACAGCTCCAGCTTTGGGCCAGGATGGAAAGGTGCTCCGGCATCGTCTAACTACGATGTGTGACCTGGCTCAGAGCCGTTCAGGTGGTAGGGAGGCGAGCGTGCGGACTGTAGGCCGGAGAGCAAGGCTTTGGTCACGGCCCATGGAGGAGCCGGATGCACAGGAGTCGAGCGGAGAGTCGAACTCCACCTCGGAGTGCTGTGCCTAAGGCGATTCGTGTTGCGGAGTGCTCCGTGAGTCAGAAAACATCTCCGGGGCTTAATCAATCCATCGAGTTCTTCTAGGTGCCTGAGTCGTACCCGTTTGCCATTTTTGTAGGAAAAAGTGGTTTAGGGTACCGGGTTTGGAGTTCCCTTATTCAACAAATAGATAGTTGTCAAAATTACGGTCCCTTTTTGGATACCCTAAATAATAGGCGCCGTGCTATATTAGGGAACCAAAAAGGGACCCTAATTTTGACAACCTCAAATAGTAAGAACAACGGTACCCTCATTATTAAGGGACCGAATTCTTGACTCTGCGGAGATCCGTGGTTACAGCGTCCACTGCACTACCGTAGCTATCCCAGGGTTCGGAGACTACGGTCCTTTAACGTGAAGGGTTCTTGAAAGGGTTCCTTAAAGGATTCTTAAAAAGGGTTCCTTTAAGGGTTGAGTGCGTGCTTTGGTTTGGAGCTCGAAAAAATGACTAGGTTCAGGGTTGAGGGTTTAGGGTTTGAAGTAGTTACTTCAGGGATCCAAGCAGTCTACTGAAGGGATGAGGATACAAAGAGCCTGTTTTCCTATCGACACAATATGCAGATTGATCTTGCAACAGTGTCTACATGCAAAGTATACCCGATCCTTAACCCTAAACCTTCCTGAGCCCTAAACCCCCGAATCCTCAACCCTAGACCCTAAATACAGGTACTGAGACCGGTTGGGGTTTGAACTTGGCACCCAACAGGTACACGCTTGTCACAGGGGCTCCAGTGATCATGATCAGAATACATACTTCGATTTTCAAGAGGACATATATATATATATATCTATATATATATATATATGGGTAGCTGTCAAAAATCATGGTCCCTTTGTTCAAGCCCCATATAGAAGCGCCAGGCGACTCTACCCTTACACCTTCGACCCACCTTGACTTGAACATGATCAGGTACTACCTTAACCCTGAATAACCTACCTTTTTAGGGTTCCTTATTATGATTTCTTAATACACGTCCTTAAAAATGTAGGTTCTTCGGGGTTAAGGTATAGGGGCCTTTTCATAATTGCCTATGCTATTTTAGGGCTTCCTTTTCATAATGATGGCATACTGTCCCCCCCGAAACCCTATTCTAATCGTCAAGGCCCCTCTAGTAGGGATTTATCGGAGGAGCAGGGAGATCCGCGAACAGGGTCGAAGAGGCGAGCTGAATTACATTCTGACCATCTCGGGGATATACGGGCTATGGTCTTTTAGGGGTGGACTGACATGCGTTATGTAGTGTTACATTGCCGCGAGTAACAACAACTGCAAACTGAAATCGGTGAAGGGCCGGGAGGTTTCCCCGGTTAGGGTTCAGTGTCTAAGGGGTTTAGGTTGCCCGAAGGTTGCATCTCTTTGAAATCGATGACTGTCGTGTTTCGCAGTAACCCAGAGAGCCCAGCAGGCCTTCAATCAAGGAAGGGCCGTCAAAGGAAGGAGAACGAGATGCCCTATGTAATGCACAGGGTTCAGGGTTTAGGATTTTTAAGGGTTTAAGGATTACGGCTCTGGATAAGGCCCCGGACACCCCATACCCAGCCGGTTTGAGTAATTCGGGGTTGCATCGACCATGGAAGCGGCATCCTCATGGCGCATCAACCGAACGATGCAGGATGTCTTGTCCCTTGGGCTGAAAGCTTACCGATAGTCTCCATTGTAGTTCCTTTGCTTGGTTTAGCCAAGTATGTAATTCGGATCCTGTAAGGTAACCTCTTAAAATAGGAACTACAATGGAGACTATAGGTAGAGTATCAGAGATTTGCTTTTAGGCTTAGGAGCTAAGGGACTAATTAAGGTTTGGGGTTCTTGTTAAGGCTGTCATTCTATGTGTTAGATGCTCTCTCCCCCGAAGACTGCGTCAATCATCACATCATTTCAGCAGTCTGTCGTCGGTTGCTTCATCCGTCTTACCCCCCTGACTCCTACAGAATGACCGCACTAGGGTTCTTTTATCGTTTTTAATCCTTTCAAGCTATGAACACCTGATTTCCAGTTCTACGCTGGCTATAGAGCAGTCCACAGTAGTTTTGTTCTTCTGGGTGTTCAAACCTGTACAGAACCTTTGGACTTCATTTACACCCAGTGGACTAGGAGGCATGCCCTTAGCAGATACCACGAAGTTGGCAGCATATTTGCCCCTTCCGATATTCTTAAGAGAGCTCTAGCACTTGCGACTTACCTATGTGTGTGTATATATATATATATATATATATATATACACACCTGCATAAAAGTATATATATATATATATGTATATATTATAAAACATACAGACTATAGTCTCCATGGGTCACCAATTTCATATCAATATCCTGTAAGGTGACCCCGAGGGAGTTACATTCAGACTATACGTGAACTGCATCCATGTTATATTTTGATATGGAGTCCACTGCCGTACGCTGGATATGTAAGGCTAATCCTGGGACGCCCTCACCCCACGTTCCCCAACCAGTTCCCTCAAAGGAACCCTCAAGAGAAACTCTGTAAGCCCCAAGTAGCTGGGTAAGGATTAGTGTGCTATTTCACCTCAGTGACAATCTACTCTGAGCCCGCCTGGCCCTAACCCCTAAACCCCTAAACCCCTAAACCCTAAGCCCCTAAACCCCGAAACCCCTAAAGCCCTAAAGCCTTAAATCCCTAAACCCTAAACCCCTAAACCCCAAACACCCTAAGCCCTAAACCGCCAAAGTTCACCCTTCCAGTCCTCGGGCCCCTCCACCCTACACCCGCCAAAACCCAAAATTCATCCTTCATGTCCTCTGACCCTACCTATAGTCTCCGTTGTAGTTCTTTGTTTTGGTTATCCAGATTTATGGTTAAGTTAGGATCCCATACTAGAGATTTTGGTTAACCAAAAACACGAACTACAATGGAGACTACAGGTAAAAGGCTTATAGGGTCAGAGGACATAAAGAACTGAACCCCAAATAGGAGTTTCCGAAAATTAGGGTACCTTAATTGGGGTCCTTCCAGTAGGGATCCTACTATTTAGGGTACTATGTTAGGGTCCCCTATTTTTTGGAAACTTCCAAATTTGTCCGTCAAGAGCCTTCGAAGTAAGGTTTGATCACCAGTGCCCGAACTCCGTGGTGCTGAACCGAAGCGAAGATGATTGGGAAGCCTTGGCGCAAGCACGGCACCTCAATGCCACCCGTGGCCTGCTCGGCATCTACGACAACTTGCAACCTGGCTCTGTAGACCCTAAACACTAAACCCTGAACGCTAAACCCTTAAACCCTATAAGCCCTAAACTTAGGGTCCCTTTTCAGGTCCCCAAAATATTACGGCCCCGTATAAAAAGGACCCTCAAAGGACCCTAATCCAACGCTTAACGGCTTCAGCCTCCAGGTATCTAAAAGTTCGCACCCTTCTGAGATTTAGAGTATCTCGGTTGCGGGAAAGTCAAGCAAGGCAGCGGTGCTTCAAAGGTAATCTCCATACACCTGGATTTCTGAAAAGGCCTGGTAAAGGACAGTTCGTCATTGACATTGGTTTGGGCTTCGATGCAAAGGAGACACGGGACGCCGTCAAGAACGGCTTCACAGTCTTTGCCTTTGAGATGTTACCAGGGAACATACAGGAGATTCAAAAGTTGGTTTCAGGTGACTCCAGATTCCATTTTGTGGAGCTCCGGAAGGAAGGGGATCGATGGATACTGCCAGAGTTGCCCAAACCCGCTGGCAACACCGGCTTTGCATACATAATCAATGCTGCAGTGTCGGACGAAGAGATGACCGTGATGTTTTCAGTCAAGCAGACACATTCGCTGATTGAGTCTGTTGATACAGGCAAGAAAGAAGGGAAGCCAGTTCCGGTGCTGCCTCTGCACAAGCTCCTCCCAAGCTGGCTCCCACATGTCGATTACTTGAAGGTTGACACGCAGGGCCATGAACTGAAGGTCTTGCGTGGATGCCAGAAGCTGTTTGAAGAGGGCCGCTGCCGCTACATCACCTTCGAGCCGCCGGGTCCTCCCAGCAAGACTGCTTTTGTTTTGCTTTGGAAGAGCTCCTCAAAATTGAAGGAGGAAGAGTATCCTCAATATCAAGGCGATCCGGTAAACCCTTGCAAAAGCACGCTTTGAACCTCTGTGAAACGTATCAATTTCGAAGCAAAGCCTCTGAAGCTCATAGAGCCCTTACATGCTCTTACTGTATCAGGTAATTACAGCCTTATGCAACCCTTATAACGGGCCTACGGGGCGAACCCAGGTTCAGCCCATTGCTGATGAAACATGCGAAGTCTGGCGATCCTCTCGTGTTGCTGAAGCTGCTGCCGAGTATGGGCGCGCTTTGCTACACTGCGCCTGGGCTCCAGCCGGTAGGTTTAGGGAATTGTGGGGTTTAGGCTGTTCAACTTGCCGCATTTGGGCCCTATCTCGGTAGAGCGATCAGGGAGTTTCCGAAAATAGGGGACCCTAACGTAGTACCTTAAATAGTAGGATCCTATTATTATAAGGACCCCAAAATAAGGGACCTCTAATTTTCGGAAACCCCCCATCTATTGGGATATGTCGTAAAGGCGAGGCTCCGGCTTTCAAGCGTGGCAGCTGTTTTTACGGTCCTGGACAAGAACCCAAACCCAAAACTAGGCCTAAAACCCCAGAAACCTAAACCTCAAGGGCCTTCAGCGAGAAAAAAGACCCTAACCCTCAACCCGAAACCCTGAACCCTGAACCTTAAACTCTAAATCCGAAACCTTAAACCCTAAACCCTAAGATTGAGAGCCGAGGCAAGCGCTCCGCATGAACACCTCAGGCCCGGCGCGGCCTGGCCCTTGGAGGAGTCTTGGTTGCGTGTTAATCTAGGGGCCTTGACAACTACGAACAAGGTTCCTGAAAAGGATCCTTTAAAGGGGAGGAGTCTTGGTTGCGTGTTAATATGGGTGGTTGTCAAAATTATGGTCCCGTTTTTGGTCCTTAATATAATACGTCACCTATTATTTAGGGTACCCCAAAAGGGACCCTCATTTTGACAACCACCCATATAGGGGCCTTAAGCAATTTCCTAAAAAGGATCCTTTAAAGGGTTCACGAGGCGTCAGGTGGAAGTACTTGTTAGGGCTCCTTTTACAGGTCCCTTTAAGACACCGGGGCGGTGGGCTCTTGCTTGAGGCTAGAAGCACGGTGACTGGGTTCACAAGTACCTTCATTGAGGCTATGATTAAGTACCTTGGTTGGGGTTATAAGCGACTTAGTCGGCGGTATAAGTATAGGTATTTATTGCAACAGTTGCCTTGTTTGTAAGCCTGGCTGCTAAGTCCTATGATCCTTGAAGTAGCGCTCGTTTAAAAGGATTAAGGCTCCTATAGTGACCCTACACGCGTTCTGTCCGGGTCCTACCTTGGGGATCATTATGGAATTAGAGATGCCTTGTGCTTCTCGTGGTGTCCTAAAAAGAGGGAGTCCATAGAAAGAAAAGCAAGGCAACTTGTTCTTCTTTTCCTTTCTAAATTTGACCCAGGAGTGGTTCCAGCTGCTGGATACCGGAAGCTGGTTGGGATACAAGGGCATTGTCACTTCGTAGTGACTTTTTCAATAGACTTTAAACTCTTGGTGTTTATAGTGAATTCCTAGGCAGCGTCAAGCTTTACGGCCGTGAACTCCGCGGCTAAGGTGAAGGGTGGCTTCGGTGCATGGGTCGATCTCCTTTGCACTTGGCCCGTCACAACACTGCACAGCCCGAAGACCGCGGCGAAGTGGACCGTGAACAGAACTGTGAGAGAACTCATGCTGGACCACCAGTGCCCAGACAAAGTTAAGTACAACCTCAGCGAGGACGACAGATCTGCTCTTGAGCGTACCAGGATGAGCAATGCGGAGATGGCCCGCTTTGGCATCTTCGATGACTTGCAGGTCAGGGGTGCCGTCTTGGTTGATCATCGTTTCAGATGCCTTAGCTTGGGTCCTTTTTCAGACTACGGGCGTGCATACAAGCATCCCTGACGCCATGCTGCTCGCAGGATTGCTTTGAGCGCAGCTCTAAGATGCCAGGCTTTCTTGAAAAGCCCGGTGCAGGCCAGTGGCTGGGCCCTTCTCGTCTTGTGTTGAATGTTCGTATATAATAGTTCTCTTAATAAAGAAAGGGCAAGCGTTGTAATGTTGCAGGCGAAGAGAACTCAAGAACAGATCAGCTTTCTTCGTAGCTGGGTAAGCAACTTTTTCAAGCGCGGAGCTTTCCCTTCCATGGCCTGTGGTTGGTCTGGACTGCCAAACCCTAAACCCTTGACGGTGGATCTCAGGTTTGTTATCGACATTGGTGTTGGATGGGAGGCCAAAGAGATGAGACTAGCAGTCCAGAACGGCTTCACGGTCTTTGCCTTTGAGATGCTACCTGGGAACATACAAGAGATTAAACAGCTGGTTTCAGGCGACTCTAGGTTCCATTTTTTGGAGCTCCGGAAGGAAGGGGATCGATGGAAACTGCCAGAGCTGCCCAAACCCACTGGCAGCGCCGGCATTGCGTACGTAATCAACGCTGCAGTCTGGGATGAGGAGACGACCGTGACGTTTCCAGACAGTCTGAGACGCTCCCACACGGAGTCGGTGACTACTGGGCGAGACGAGGGAAGGGCTGTTCCAGCCCTGCCTTTACACAAGCTCCTTCCGAAGTGGCTGCCGCACGTGGATTACTTGAGAATTGAGACCCAAGGGCACGAGCTGAAGGTCTTGCGTGGCTGTGAGAGGGTGCCTTTATCATAGTCAGGTCGCATTTTACATGTTTATGGATACTTCGGTTCGACCGAAAACAATTAGGCATAGAATTGTGAACTGTTAATACTATCCTTAAACCGAAAAAGGACAACAGAAACTTAGAATCCTTTCCCAACCATGACTCTAAACCGTATAAACGATACAAGCCCCATAAGCCGTATACCCTGTAAACCCTAAACTCTAAACCCTGAACCCTAAACTCTAAACCCTAAACCCTGAACTCAGAAAGCCTAAACCCTAAATAGGTGCTGCGGGAGCCCCACAGTCGCTACATTCAGCTCCTCTTCGGCACCAGAGCTCCGAGATGCCAGCTCTACTTTCCTAAAGCCCCGGCGCTTGTCACCGAAAGAGTAGTCTTCGTCGTCGTAGTCGTTGTAGTAGTAGTCGTCGTAGTGGTGGTGGTAGTAGTAGTGGTAGCAGAGTAGGTAACCTGGAACCCTTTAAGGGTACAGTTATCCCTATAGTATACTCCCAATACACTCTGAAAGGTTAACCTTTACTTCCCCAGGATAATGGACAAGTAGGGGTACTATAGCGTTCTACAGCAAGGTCCCCTTTATGGGGGACAAAAGGTTCTAATAGGGTCCTCCACAGGAGCCCTTGAAGGAAGCCATAAACGAACCCTCACAGGGACTGTAGGGTTCTACAATGGAAGCCCAAAAGTTGGAAACCCCATGGCCTCAATCCTTAAGAGTAATGTATAGGGAATCCCAGCACTATTTGGCCTTAATCCGGTTTCCAACTTTATGGGGTTTACTGTAGTCCCTTTACAAGGTACTACAGGGCCCTATATGGTTCTATACAGGGTCTTCACAGGAACACTTAAAGGAACCCTTGCAGTTACGCTGGCTCCCTGCTTGATACCTACTAGCCCAAAGCCTCAACCTATTGTGTGAAAATCCCGTAAACCTGTACAAGGCCCTAATACTCAACAGCTCCTACAACAGAGTGGGTTAGAGTAGTTTCAGGTGCGACCCGTGACTCCCCATAAACTAAACACAGCCCCTCCTTCCCCGCCACAAAAAAACCCTAAACCCCTAAACTCTTAAACCCTAAACCCCTAAACGCTAAACCCCTAAGCCCTAAACCCCTATAAGAGCGGCGAGGTTCGTGTTCGCTCCCTGGCTCATAAAGCGAACTCAGCTCCTCGGTGGCCAGTATCAAGGTTCAAGGGAATAGGGTTTACCTGGACCCTAAAGAACCTACCTTTTTAGGGGTTGCCGATTATGATCTCTGCATATAGGCCGTTAAAGAGGTATTTTGGAATCTAGGTAGGGTTTGAGGCTTGGGGTTTTGGGGTTTCAGGAACTTGTTCTTGGCAGGGGCTCTTGGTTTACTGTGCCGGTGGGATTTGGGAATGCTCCTTCGAGGAGATACCAGTCAACCCCTGAACACCCCTTGTGACACCTTACTCGCAAAAGGGGGCTACTTGGGACCCCCAATAGTTAGAAGTACAGCTCAGCAGCACTTCCTTAAGGTCTAGATCAGCCCTGTAACACCACTGTTTTAACTTCGCACGCCCTGAACCCTATTCAAGAAGTTTGTAACCCTAAACGCTAAACCCCTTAAGCCCTAAACCCCTCAAGCCCTAAATCCTTGAGCCCCTAAACCCCTAAAGCCCAAACACCATAAATCCCAAAGCCCAAAACCCAATCGATCCCTTTAAAGGGCGTCTCATAGATCCCTTTAAAGGAACCCTAAACTATCGAAACCCTTCTGAAGGATCCTAAATCCCCAAAACCGAAAACCCTAAACTCTATAGAGCCTTTAAAGGAGCCTTAAACTATCGAAACCCTTTTGAAGCATCGCCAAAAATAAACCCTTCGTCCCTAAACCCTATAGATCCCTTTTCAGGAACCCGTTAAAGGAGCCCTATAAACTATCGAAGCCCTTCTTGAAGCATCACCATAAACCCCTAAACCCTAAACCCTCTGGATCCTTCTTAAATATATAGATCCCATTAAAGGAACCCTACAAACTATCGAAGCCCCTTCTTTCCCTAAACCCTAAATCCCTAAATCCCTAAGCCCTAAACCCTAAATCGAGGAAAGGAGATCCCCTGGAGCTGCTCCAGTTCTTGCCCAGATTGGGAGCGCTCTGCTACACGGCAGCTGGGCTCTTAAGGAGCGTAAAGAGAGAGAGAGAGAGAGAGAGAGAGAGAGAGAGAGAGAGAGAGAGAGAGAAAGAGAGAGTTCCTTTGAAGGGATCCAGAAGGGCTCCTTATAGGGATCTATATAACGTAAAGAGTAGTTACTCTTATAGCAGCCTGAAGAAATACTATATAGTATTATAGGGTTTCTGTGTTCTAGTTCTAGTCGACTGGGCTCCAGAGGACCCTATTCTAATTGTTAAGGCCCCTCTGCTGTTGTTGGGGAACTGCAGGGCCCTTAAGGAACGTGCAGAGTAATTACAGTTAAGGACCTGCTGGGCTCTTAACGAACTTATCAGAATAGTTGTGGTTGAGGAGCTGATTGTTCAGCAAAAACTCTACTATACGGTTCCGAAGGGGGTATAGAATACCCTAAACCCTAAACCCCTAAACCCTAAACCCTAAATAAGCCCTCGGGCCTTGGGGCTCGAACAAAAAACAGATACCGTTTAGAGTGTGTGTGTGGAGGCGCGGGTTTAGAGGGTTTGGTGGTCAGGGCTCCGGAGACCAAGACCGTACTTGGAGGATCATGGGACTTAGTAAAGTAGGGTTATAAGTACCCTAGTTGGGGTTATAAGTAGTTGTAAGTACAGTTACCTTAGTTATAAGCCTAGTTACTAAGTCCCATGAGCCTTTGAGTAGAGTTTGTAGGTGAGCTGAGGGCTTCTGTGTGATTTTGTGGCTGGGCTGAGGTATTTTGGCTTTTTGGGTTTAGGGTTTATGTAGTTACCATGTAGTTTTAAACATCAAGGCACCGGGGGGTGGAGTAGTGTTGTCTTAATTTGCTCTTATCTTCTCAAAACTTTTAAAAGTTCTGCAGGCCGAGAAGCCCAACTGCCGGAGGTTTTTAGTGCATTTTCAAGCGGGCTGCGCGCAACAACAGCATATTACTCTCAGCCCGAAAGCCCCACAGTGTAAAACCACCAAACCAGCCCTAAACCCATACAGCCTGCAGGGAGCCGGGTTCTGGAGTACCGCACTTTATTGCCTTTGGTGGGCCCGTTCTTTAAAGGAATCTTGAAATGTCCTTGGTCACTTCAAGCCCCAAAACCTTAAAGTGAATTGGTTAGTGTTTTCAGGGCGCGGAGTTCTTGTTTAGGCGATGTGGTTGAAGTTGCCATAGCAAGGAAATCGTATTATTTAGTATAGATCCTTATGAGGATAACTTAACTTGAATTCCTTAACAATAACCCAGTATGTTTCCGGAGCCTACATTCTCTCCCCAAATAAGCCGCACAAACCCTACACCTTAAATGGCTCTAAACCCTAAAGAACCCCTAAATCGTAAACCCTAAGCCCTAAACCCTAAAGCCTAAGCCTAACGCCCTCAACCTGAAAGCCTATACTTAAAACCCTCAACCTTACGCCCTATGCCCTGAACCCGATGCCCTAAACCCCTAACCCCCTAAACCCAAAAACCCTGGCAGCCAAGACCCAGACTCCCAGGAGGATCTAGAAAGTAGATCCCCGAATTTGGGGCCCTATACTACTAAGGGTACTTTGCGGGAACCTCCATTAAGGGATCTACCCCAAACCCTAAACCCTAAAACCCTATAGATCCCTTAAAGGGACCCTTAAAGGAAACCTTATAGAAACCCCCATTAAGGGATCTACTTTTTGGATCCTCCCGAGGGTCTGGGTTAAGGGTTCTACTAAGTCCCCTTAAGACCCTCCAAGTTAGAACCCTCATAGACCCCTTTAAAGGGTCCCTTATAGAACCCTTATAGATCCCTTTAAAGGGAGCCGGCGAGGCGAGTTCACCGAAGCTTCATCTGCGACGAGGTGCTCCCTGGCCGCTTGAGGAATGGCTCAAGCTCCTGGATGAAGGCCGATATAGTATAGCCGGGGGGGGTTAGGGTCTAGGGGTTTAGGGTTTAGGGCTTTGGGGGAGGGGATTATAGGGTTTAGGGTTTGGGGTTTAGGCCCAAGGTCCTGGATGAAGGCCCTTCAGGGCTTTGATATAAGGGCCTTAAGAATTACCTACACTGTTTTGGGGGGCTCCTGATTATAAATATAATATACTGGGCCCCAGGCCGTTCAGGGGTTTAGGTGGGGTACTGCCCCCACTCAGTACCAGTTGGATAAAATACATAATATAGAGATATAAGGACCTCAGTAGTAGCCCGTTTATCGACTGTTACTGTCTGGGGGCCGTACCCAAGGTTTACGGGCTTAGGAGTAAACCCTAAACCCTAAACCCTAAACCCAAAGGGGCTTAGGAGTTTAGGGGTTTAGGGTTTTGAAAGCCCTAAGGGCTGGGGTTTACTGGTAGCATTTAGGGTTTCGGGCTTAGGGATGTAGGGTTTCTATTCCTAAACCCCCCCAAAGTAGGTATAATCATGGCCCAGTGCCCATAAACGGCGATTATTCTCCATACTGTTGGGGTCCAGGTAGAGGTTATAGAGTTTTCTGCATGGAAAGAGCTCCTGGATGAAGGCACTGAGGGCTTGTGTTTAGGGTGTAGGACCCCGCACACCCCTTACAAACCCTTGCAGAGCTTAACGAACCCTTCAACTCTTTCCCCCTAAACCCTAAACCCCAAACCCTAATCCCATATGAATCTTTCTAAAACCTCCGCCCCGCTGTAAACCCGCAGAAGCCCTCCCTTCTGTGAAGGCAACTTTACCGGCTACTACCGCCCGGTTGGGACGAAGGATCCTCTGGCCTGCCCGATGTGTTGCTTTTGAGTTTCGAGTTTAGGGTTTTGGGTTTTAGGTTTAGGGTTTAGGGTTTTGAGTTTTAGGGTTTAGGGTTTAGGGTTTTGGGTTTTGAGTTTAGGGTTTAGAATACGGAGATGAGGAGACTTACCCAAAGCATCCTAAGTAGAAGTATGGGGGGAGATACTTGCATGAATCATAAGACAGGTTCCTCAGATAGAAACCCCAGTTGGCCCTAGCGCTAGTTTCTACGGTGTAGGTA